AAACCCATTGTGTTTCAGTTGCCCCCTGGAAGGCAATGCAGAGAAAAAGGTCTTCAGGTGGTTGGAGGAAAAAAGCCTCCTCAGAGGGCTGGAAAAAAAGGAGATTCAGAGACATGCAAGGGAACAGGGGAGACATGGCATTGGCTGGAAAAAGGAAACACAGTCTCCTTCCTTGTTGGGTTGTCTGGTCTGTGAGTCTAGACAACGATGAGGCCACCTGGCACACAAGTGGGAGGGTCAGGAATCTGTGGGGTTCTGCACTTTGGAGTTAGGGCCTTGGGAGGGTGAGCTTGGGCCATAAAGAAACCTGAATGGACGCATTCCATGTGTGGGCAGCCATTGTGAGCAGGGTGATGGGCGCGCCTAGCATTCAGGATTTGGCAGCATGAGGGGATAGGATCTTGCCAGCTTTCTATAGCACCCACTGAATTGCAGCTAACGCTCAGATTTATGTTAATTAACTCATAATCAGCATAACCCTAAGCCAGGTGTGTTTGTGGTGTATTTGTGTGTGGGAGGAACATTATCACGCTTAGAGTTTTAGATCGTTGTCGCTAGAGGCCAAACTAAACAAATTTGGCTCACCATGAAACTCTTCGTTCTGTGCCAGCCCTGGGGGCGCAGCGGCCGGGTTTCGGGGGCTGTCTCCAGAACGGAACCATTTCTGCTTGCCCTGTGACGGGCACTGTGAGGTAGGCTAATTGGCAATCCTGAGTGGAGCGGTGGGCAGTGGCCCAGTCTGCTGAAGGCACACAGATGATGGCATTTCCATTATAAGACATGAGTGTGTGAATGTGGGGCCCTCGGAGTCCCGGGAATGCCTTTGATGGTGACACTGACACACTGCTATGATGTTTCTAGAACACAGATGGTATTGTGGGCTCAACTGTGTCCTCACAAAATTTATATGCTGAAATTCTAGTCCCCCAAACCTCCAAATGACTGTATATATAAGCCTTTAAAGAGTTAATTCAAAGTTAAGTAACAATGAGGCCGTGACCGCTGTCCTTATGGAAAGAGATTAGGACACTGACACACAGAGGGGAGACCCCGTGAGGTCAAGGGAGAAGATGGCCGTGTCTAAGCCAAGGAGAGAGTCCTCAGGAGAAACCATCCCTGCTGAAGCCTTGATCTCAGACTTCCAGCCTCCACAACTGCGAGGAAATTAATTTCTGTTTCTTTTAAGCCACCCAGTCTGTGGCAATTTGTTCTGGCAGTTCTAAAGACCTAAAAGCGATGGTATAGTCAGCAAGGAAGGCAATGAAAATGGGGTGTTGGAGTGACCGGGTCAAGCAAGGGCGCGAAGGGATATGGAGTCACTGAAGACTGGTACCTTTGTCCAATACAAAAGTTAAGACAATGAGCTTGTTTGTGCTTGTTTGTTGTTTGTTTTTAGAGAGGGAGGGAGGGAGGAAAGGGGCAGATTTGCCAGGACAGTTAGGGAGGACGGGCTCCCAACCCACACTCACTCTGGCGGCCTGTACCTTGGGGGCTCCAGGAGGTGACCCATGCTCTAGGGGACCATGGTTTAATTGGAGGGGTCCACCACCTGTGAACAACCTTTGGGCCTGGCTGAAGGTCCCCCCTGAAATAATGCTAGGGGGCCACGTATGGGACAGTGAGCAACAGAGGGTCTGTTCAGGGGAGGAGGAATGTTGGACCCAGCTTGCTTTTAGGATTGCTGACCCTTCCTCCAGGTTCTGCTTGGGGTCAGCTAAGTCCCCTGAAGCTGGAGCTCCGTGGGAGACCAGGGGGCACCATTCACAGAGGCCGTGAGCTGTGCACAGTGCCTCAGGCCTGGGACCTCTGAGCCGAACCGTTAAATATCACCGCAAACCAAAGGCGAAGTGTTTCCGCAATATACTTTGAGGAACATGCTATTTGTGTGACCTTGGACAAGTGACAGAATGTCTCTGGGTATCAGGTTTCTAAAATAGGGATCTTATGAAGATCAGATAAGGCCTTTCATGCCCAGTGCCATGTGTGAAGCTGTACTGAAGTCTGAGAAAACACTAGATCCCTGAAGACCTAATGGCCAGGCTGGTATGTGCCCAGAGAGGAATTAAAAATAATCGTTACAGATCTTTTTCTCCTTATAAAAGCAGTATTTGGTCGCTGTAAATTTTCTGGAAAATAGAAAAATAGAAAAATAAAAATTCACCTGTTATCTACACCCAGCAATAAGCACTTTAACAGTAAGGCCTGTGTATTTCTGGTATTTTCTTTTTCTGTGTTTCTACATTTTATTTCTTTGTCTTATAAAAAATGGATAGGTTCTTATAGGTTCATACTCTGATTTTCACTTAAAATCGTGTTATACACACTCATGTAACAAACAATTCTTTTGAAGTGTGATAGTTGCAATGCAGCATTCTGTTGCACAGAAGCAACTGTAATGTAACAAAATGGCAGTAATTCTGGTTCACTATTATTATTATTTAGTTTTTTAATGTTTGTTTGTTCTTGAGAGAGACAGAGACAGAGTGTGAGCAGGGGAGGGGCAGAGAGACAGGGAGACACAGAATCTGAAGCAAGCTCCAGGCTCTGAGCTGTCAGCACGGAGCTCAATATGAGGCTCGAACCTACGAACCATGAGATGATGGCCCAAACCAAAGTCGGATGCTTAGCGGACTGAGCCACCCAGGTGCTCCCACTATTACTGAGCCAGAACTTCACAGGGCCAGTCCTGGCCTGTCTGAAAATATACAGACACTTGCATGGCTTGAGAACATTTGACAAACGAATGACTCTTGCAAAATCCTTCCCTAGTTTCCCCCTAGAAGCCTGAGGGAAGGGCTGCTGCTAACAGTCGCAGGCCCTGGAGGAAGAAAAGAGTCCAAAGGACAGCTTGCAGCCCGTGGCTGCCCTCTCCTTTCTCCACCTGGATCCAGCCAGCACTTTGTAGGCACCTCAGGTTCGTGGGTGTGGGCACCGGGGCCCACGTGTCCAAGTTCTTTCTGAGCTCCCTTCCCCCACAGCTACCCCTGGCTATCTCTCTGACATTGAGGTGTGTATACCCACGGTGTCCACCTGCGGAAGGTCGAGCAGATAAGAGGACTGTATGAACCTTGGAAGTTGGTTTGGGGCCATTTGGTGGAGAATTCCAGCATCCTCGGTACTCAGAATCTAGTCTAGGAAAGGGGGGCAGTGCAGGTCTAGAAGGGGACCCTTTGAAGTACACAGCGAGGGCAGGGGCCCCAGAGCTCCAGCCTGAGGGCTATGAGAAGCCAGTGTCTCATGTGGCCTGGGGGGGGTGTGGGACAGTGATGGGCCCTCCGAGGCCTAACTCCCTGTCCCATTTGGCAAGGCTGGAGTCTGGGGAAGCTCAGGAGATTAAGGCTCCCACTATGGTGGGAAGCAATACAAACCCAAATTTCCATCCAAAGCAGCGGACACTTACTTATTTGGTCTCAGCCCCAGAGAGGTGGGAAACACAAGTTGACACGTGACACTTCCCCAGAAGAAACCTCTCTGGGAGTTAGAATCAGTTAAGTCAATCGTTTTCAAATTGTTTTTTTCCTTTCTTTCTTTTTTTAAATGTTTATTTTTGAAAGAAAGAGAGAGAGAGAGAGGGAGAGACAGTGAGTGGGGGAGGGGCAGAGAGAGAGAGGGAGACACAGAATCTGAAACAGGCTCCAGGCCCTGAGCTGTCAGCACAGAGCCCGATGCGGGGCTAGAACTCATGAACCGTGAGATCATGACCTGAGCCTAAATCGGACGCTTAACCACTTAGCTACCCGGGTGCTTTTTTTTTTTTTTTTTTAAAGAGAAAATTCTTTTAGCACAACTCACAGGAGTTGGGAAGTAACAGGAAGAAAATACGGGGCCTGAGGTACATGGCAGATCACTGACTTTGGCTCTCTGAGTATCTATGCTTTGGACATTTGAAGTCTTCTCAGTGGGCCACTCTTGAGAATCGGCAGGTAATGAAGTTTATTTTTAAAGAATTAGGAAAATGGCCCAAACTGAAAAGAGTTCTAGAAACTTTTATGTTCGGGATTAAGTTTGAGGCTTACTCATGGATGAGTCATGCTTTTGAAACTTAGCTGTCCGTTCCAGCAGTTTTGCAAGCGATAGGGTTCCGACGCATGGACTTCTTTCTTGCCGTTTTTAGGACAAAGTTGATGCTGCAATCGCTACTGGATATTGGCATTTCCTAAGGTATTAACAAATACTGTGAGTTCTACCACCGTCATTTCCGTGATTACTTCCTGCTCTTGGTAAACTACAGTTGCGAGAGAAAGGTCTGGGAGATTTTATGAGCTGAGACTGGGGGTGAGAGGGGTGTGTGTATGGGGGGGAGGGGCAATCAAGTTGGTACCTGAGAGCCTGTTAAGTTCCAATTTAGTCAAGAAAATCCTCTATTTCAAAATCCAGGACAGAAAAGCAGCTTCCAGAGTGCCAGGACTGTCTTCCTCCGTTGCAACAGTGCCTTTGGCATCTACCCAGTGCCAAGGACACTCAAGACATTTGCAGAAAAAATGAAAAGGTAGCCGGGAGCAGCTGACATGCGTGCCCAGAGCACAGCTGAGGGCAGGATCGCGAGCGGGTGCAGGGGACACTGGTCACCACAGGGGCGTGGGGACTGCACGAGCCACTTTGTTCCAGTTCACCGCCACAATGGCCCTGCCAACACAGGGCACAGTGGAGAACATCACTGCCAACACCACAACACACTCACTTAGCTCCTGTTTAATTCTGGTCCAGATATAGAACATTTATACAATTTTTTATACAAGTGCATGCAAAGTTACAAATATAGAAAATATAAAGTACATGCATATTTCAAAGATCCACCATGGATCTTTATACAAAACTATTCAGTGCACATGTAAGCCTGAGGACCACGCAAAAGGGTTTTCTACGTATTAAGTATTTAGTACCTTACAAAAACAGGTGGTACGATAGATCAGATAGATGTTAACTCCTCTAACCCAAATTTCTATGTTGGTCATACACAATATATATATATGTAATGATTTTTTTTTTTTTTTTTTTTACATCAAATACCCACACAGTGCAAGCCAGTAACATTGCAGGACGGTAATTTATCAGCTAGGTGACAATAATGAATGACCCAGACAATAATTTTACCTTAAATAACAGTAACAGAATTCTTTTTTTCCACTCTGAATAGATGTTTCTGTCATCTGCCACCTAAGGTATTTTTTGGGATGGCCAAACCAGGACTTGACACAATTCTGGCTTTCGACAGTTATGAGACAGCAATGGAGAAATGCGAGCACTTCTTTTGTCTACTAATCATTTTCTTCATTGTGTAATGCTCTGGGAGAACGGTATTTTCACGCTGCGCCTTCGTCTATGTAAAAATGCTTCTGGTTCCCAGGTAAATGACCAAAGATTTGCTCTCAGTGCCCAGAGAGTGGTGCAATTTTTTTACTGCCCTACTTCTCTACAGTTTAGGTTGTGAAAGAAAGGAATGCCACAAGTAGGTGCTTTAAACGTCCAAGCCGGGAGCTCGCCTCCAAGGGCACCAAGTGTTGGGCTATTTTTTAGTCTTTTTGTGTTGTTGGTTACGCGCGTTCCCTGTGAAAACCTCGTCTGCCGAGGTCTAGTGCCCCTTGACACGATAGCTGCTGTGTAGCCCACACTGCAAAATGCAAGACTCTGTCCCAGCTCTGTGCAGACACAGGGCACGTGCTCTCTGGCGCGCTGAGCCTGGGCCCAGGAGCTAAGGATCTCTAGTTTTGTTTTTTGAATGAGTATCATGTGGCCATGATACTCAAATTTGGCAGAAATGCTCTCTGAACGGGGAAATGTAGTCAGGTTCTCTTAAAACGGGTGAGGAAAATGTCCCACGTTGCCGTGAAATCACGGCTAAGATGGGGCATTAGTGTACTGAGCTCTAGCTGGGGAAGGAGCCGGAGGTATTCAGGCGAAGGGACTTGAAGGCTGTTTTGAGAATCGATTTCGCCTCAATCAGCCGCACTAGACAAAAAAAGGAGCCCTAGATCAACCAATGATTATTTGTTGTTGTTATTCCCAGCCCAGCACTAGCACTGGCCCATGAAGGACTCAATCCCTCGGGGCTCGAATAAATAGCATCCTGGGTCTGCTCTACATTTCCCGGGGCCATCGGTGCCAAGGGTATTAGCCTATGGGCGATAGAGAAGCAGGAATGAGACACCATCACTACAGGGCTGTAGGTAGACACCCCCTCCCCCGACCCGTAAAAGATGAAGAAGATGGGGAAGACGGCAAGGCCGCCCTCAACCCCCGATCAGGAGGATGAGGAGTGAGAGGAGGAGAATCACGGGAGGCGGGGAGAAGAGGATGGCGCTCGCCCCTCTTTGGTAGTAGGCCTCGGACTCTTTCTGGTACTGGGTGACGCACATCTGCTCCACCACGCGCTCCATTATCTTCATGTCGGTCTCCGTGAAGTTCTCCCCCTTGGTGGTGGTGGTGACCGTGTGCTGCCTGACCGTGATGTTGACGCAGTCGTGCACAAAGTTGTTCTGGTTGCTGTACTGATCCACTGGCCTGTAGTACACTTGGTTGGGGTAGCGGTACATGTTTTCACGGTAGTAACGGTCCTCGTAGTCGTTGCCAAAATGAATGAGGGGCCGGCTCATGGCACTCCCCAGCATGTAGCCGCCGAGGCCCCCCACTACCGCCCCGGCTGCCGCGGCTCCTGCCATGTGCTTCATGTTGGTTTTCGGCTTACTGGGTTTGCCCCACTGACTGTGGGTGCCACCACCTTGACCCCAGCCGCCGCCGGCGTGGGGCTGTCCCCAGCCGCCGCCGGCGTGGGGCTGACCCCAGCCTCCGCCGGCGTGGGGCTGACCCCAGCCGCCGCCGCCCTGGGGTGGGTAACGGTTGCCTCCAGGACTGCCCTGCCCCGGGTACCGGCTCCCCCCAGTGTTCCATCCTCCACCAGGCTTCGGCCGCTTCTTGCAGAGGCCCACGTCACTCCATGTGGCCACAAACAGAACCAGGATCCAGCCGCCTATGTGGCCTTTCACCATGACGATGTATCTGCAAAATGAGAAGGGTGTCAGCATCTTAGGTTCATGTTGGAACCACTCGGCCCTTGCTGCGTAATGAATGAACGCTCGAGTGAGAGCGTCTGCATGTCGGTCACAAAGGCTCTCCACTCCTACCTCTCCTCTGTGGCACTTATGACAAAAGTAATGTCAAATAAAGCGTTAACACAGCTTTGTCCTTCTCTAAGGACAAATTTGTCCTTCAGATCATTTCTGGCTCTGTTTCCTGGAAACCTGATAACGATGGAATGTTAGCAATGTTGCTTATGGTAAAAATAACCCGATTGATAAAGTGCGTCTGGTGGGTCTGCCATAGCTTTGAGCATCCCTAGAGGGGTGATTGCTGTAACCAGGCATGTCCTTGTGGGAACCCTGGAAGCAATGCCCCTTTGGGGCTGTCACGAGGGACGCCAGATCCTGCAAGGTCTGGGGCTTCTACGTGAAGGGGAACTCTTCACCCACCAATACGGGCCTCATTCCCTTGCACCCAAGGAGTTACTTGTAGGGGCTGGGAGTGGAGGCAAGTCCCTGGCTGCTGTGTGGACTGCTACGAGGATCCTGGTGTGGCCCCTTCTGGAACCTTCTGGGAACTTGGTGTGGCCCCTATGGAAGTCTTGTGAGCTAGGAAGCCCCCCCCGCCAGTTGAGTTTGCAGTAATTAAATGACTTTGAAAACCGCTGGTTCATGTCTTCTTTCATCTGCAGGAATGAATGTCAGCAGGGAGCGAGTCCTGTTTGTTGCTCTCTCCTCGGGACCTGGGGAGGCACCTGGCAGAGCAGGCCCACGATAGGTGTTTGTGCGTGAAGGAATTCATACCCTCACAACGTGTAAGTGGCGGCAAGAATCTCCTCAAAAGTAATTCTCAATACAACAGTTTTTGGAAACGGGAAACATGCAGGATCTTGCAAGCCTGCTTGTCAATTCATCTTTTCTTCTATAAAAAGGGCTGCTCAAAGCAGGTCAAAAATGGCCGTGTCCACAAAATTTGCGGATACTCAGTCACTGAATGAGTTTTAGTTCGGCATTTAATGGCTTACGAGTGACTTATTTTCTAATTGTTGGTACAAAAGAAACCGGTCTCACATACAACGACCAGCACAGCTTAGGACTAAACCAGCCAAGTATCCTGGATAATGATTAATGACCCTCTACAGAATGCACGTTCATCAAACTAAAAACCTCCCTTCCGATTAAATACCTTATTTCCCCTGGGTGCTCCGTTCCAAGCGCAGAGATCAAAGGCACACACACACACACACGCAGGGGAAGGAGAACGATGCAGTAAGTAAATGAATTCACATCTTGTTTATGCTTCTACTATCATTACTGAAAATCTCGGTGGCCATAAGTGAATAAAAATATATCTGAAAGTTACAAGCCAAGTTCAACTGCTCAGATCATGCCAGTCAGGATTTTTGGAGGCTCTTCTGGGTAGGGTTAGAGGGGCAGGGTCCTGGGACACGCCGGCTGGCCTTCTCCTGGCACCCTCAGCACGAGTCCCCGGCGCCCAGCCTTCTACAAGCCTGCTCCCCTGGGGTATTCTTCACTTGCACACAGGCTCCAGCTCTCGGCCTCCGTGCTGCCCACACTTCTGCTCACACGCTGCAGGGAACTGAACTAGGGGAGTGTCGCCCCAGTCAACATTTCCCAATTTAATGGAGTTTTATGTCAACAACTACTTTGTTCACCCCAATGAGCCGAACCCAGCCAACACCGTGGAGTTATTCTTGAATTTCCTCTTTCTCACAGGGCACGATGATTCTACTAGCAAATCTTATCAGCTCTATACTGAAAATAAATCCTAAATCCCAAAACCACTCACATTTCCCGACACTACTTAGTATCCTGAGTGAAGCATCTACTGCTCCTGGACGGGCTCTTTCAACAGCCTCCAACCAGCCTCCCTGCTTTCCCCAGGCCCCCACTGTGTGTTCTCTACTCAGCAGCCCAGGGCTCACACAACCTTTTAATATGTAGCTCACACCATGCCTCTTCCCTTCCCCCCAAGTGGCACTCCTTCATGCCCAGGGTAAGACCCCAAGTCCTGACCATGCCGGCGGGGCCCCACATGACCTTGCCTCTCTGGCCTCCTCCTGCTCCCCAGACTTAATAAGCACTTTCCCATCTCAGGGCCTTTGCACCTGCTGCTCCCAGGACTGGAAGGTTCTCCCTCCACAGTTACTCATGTGGCTCAAGTTTGCTCTAATGTCACCTCTGCAGGGCTGCCCATGCCACTCTACCTAAGCCAGCACCCTGCATCCTATCCCCTTATCCTGCTTCATTTTTTTTTTGGGGGGGGGGAGGGACAGGGGGGAGGAAGAGAGAAAGAAAGAGAGAGAGAAAGAGATAGAATCCCAAGCAGGTGCCATGCTCATCACAGAGCTTGATGTAGGGCTCAGTCTCATGACCACGAGATCATGACCTGAGCCGAAATCAAATGTCAGACCCTCAACGGACTGAGCCGCCCAGGCACCCCTCCTGCTTCATTTTTCTCCAGAGCAGGGATGCTTACTTGACATCTACGATTTATTATTTGCTTCCTATTCACCTTCTCCACGGGAGTGCAGGCCACCCCAGGGCGGGAGTTTTGTTTTGTTCACAGCTGGGCCCCAGGTGCGTAAACACAGTGCCTGGCTTACACAATAAATGCTGAGTGAATGGAGGAGTGTGAACATATCTGTTATAAAGCATAAGAAATAACCAAACTAAAAATCAAACTGTTACAAGAGTGAACCATATTTATGAATTTTCACAACACTCTTTCCTGCAATGGCCGGCTGTCTAACAACTACGATCCACTTATCTAAAGCTTGACCTCACGTGCCATCTGGACTCCGGCTGGATGGCGATGTTACCTGATATGGTTGAGGCAGCTGGAAAAGCAGGTAGCAAGGGAAGTAACACCGAGACTGGCTTTGAACATGCCCTGCCCAAGGCTGGAAGAGTCCCAGCTCTATAAGCGCGTGCAGGTATGTGAGCAGACGGTGACATCACATAGTAAAGGTGGCACAGAGAGGGACTCGGTCCTCGGGAGGCTGGGCACGGGACGTGGAAGGGCCACAGAGCATTCAGAGTGGAGACGGGCAGTGAGAGTGTCAGCAGGACTGGGGGCTGCAGGTGGCTTCATCGAAGTGGGGCCTTCATATGCAGCAGAGAGGCAGGCGGGGTCAGGCAGGAAAGGGCCTCACCAGCAAGCTGAGCAGACACCCCCACTGCCCTGGGACAGTCTACACCCGTTGTTCCTGGTGCTAATATTAAGAGTGCCCCCTTTCATTCTCAAGAGTGTCCCAGTATGTTAACACAGGCAGCCTAATTATAAGGCATATTAAGTAGTCTGGACTTGATCCTGAAAGTACTAAGGAGCCAGTGATGAGTTCTGGGTTCTCCCTGAGAAAGAACATTGTGGAGAATGGACTGGGGACTGTGTGTGTGTGTGTGTGTGTGTGTGTGTGTGTGTGTGGACACAGGGAAACTAGTTTCAAGGCTACTGCAGTGATTGAGGTAAAAGATGGCGGCCTTGACAGGGAAGGAGATGGTCTCCTTCCATGGATGGTGTGCATTAGAAGGCAGCTTCTGGAGGACTTGGTGTTTGTTGTAGAGGATGGGAGCCTGGAAGAGTCGAAGTGGCACCCAGGCTTGTGGACTGGACAACTGCATGGACAGAACACAGAAGTGTGGGGCAGGTCTCGGGGGAGGTAAATGAGGGGCTTGGCTTTAGCAACACTCTCACCAAGCTGTGTGTGCCATGGCACGCATTGCTGCCCAGTACTTTATTAAAGCCAAATACTGGATAAACTAGGCTAATCACAGAATATCTGAGGACAAGACCATCTGGAAATGAGGATCAGTTGAGAACAACAAAAGCAACATTTAGTTATGAAAAGTTATTAAAAATAACAGCTATAGTTTGAAGTATAGAACCATTTCTAAAGGTAAGTGGGACTCAAAACTTACAGAAGACCTTGGAGAGTTTCTTTCTGTTTGCGATAAAATTGGGAAGATCTTCTATTATTTAATGCAAACCTCTCACTCTACAAATTAGGCTACCAAGATTCAGAGAAGTCAGGTGACAAGTCATGATTACAGTGCCGGTTAGTAAAATCGCGGGGGATGGAGATTGGGATTCTGAGTCCCTGGCTGTGCTAGGACACTATTCCTATAAGATACTCTCTGTGAACGGTCAGGTTGTAGCCCAATCCTCTGGTACATTTCAAGACATTAAGTATATCAAAGGTCAACAGCTCTTTATCACTTTATTTATTTATTTATTTTTTCAACGTTTATTTATTTTTGGGATAGAGAGAGACAGAGCATGAATGGGGGAGGGGCAGAGAGAGAGGGAGACACAGAATCGGAAACAGGCTCCAGGCTCTGAGCCATCAGCCCAGAGCCTGACGCGGGGCTCGAACTCACGGACCGCGAGATCGTGACCTGGCTGAAGTCGGACGCTTAACCGACTGCGCCACCCAGGCACCCCTTCAGCTCTTTATCACTTTAAAAAAATACTCTTAGCAGACTAGGAATAGGAGGAAACTCCCCTAACCTGATAAACGTTATATAACAAAACCAGTAAACACACTTAGTGGATAGCCTCTGAAGGCACTCCTGTCCGAGATCAAAAATAAGACAAGGATGTCCATCATCACAGTACTGAAGGTCCCGTTCAGTGCCACATGCAGAGACAAAGAAGTAGCCAGGGCAAGAAATGCAAGGACAGAGCCAGCTGTCGTTATTTGCAGTTAAGGTGATCACACAACAGAAAACCCAACAGACTCATCAGAAATGACATGAGACCCAGTTCTAGAGTTCAGCAAGGCTGTGGGATACAAGACTGGCCTAGAAAAATCAACAGCATTTCTCTACACCAGCAAGAATCGAATAGAAAAAAAAAAAAAAATCACAGTAGCGAAACCAAACTGTAAAATTTCCAGGAACGGATTTAACTGAGAAAAAATAAGACCGGGGAAACAATTAAAGAACACTGAT